AAAACTTTCCCCTCGATACCATGAGCCTTAACTTTTCTCAGAAGCCTCTGATATGGTACTCTGTCAAATGCTTTGCTAAAGTCTAAGTAAATAACATCGTAATTATCGTCATTATCTACTACCTCGAAGACTTTGCTAAAAAACGTCAGCAGATTTATTAGACAAGATTTTCCCGTTGTAAACCCATGTTGAGAGTCGTAGATTAATTTGCTTTTCTCTAAATGCGATCGAATGCTATTTGCTGTAATTGATTCAAACTAATTGGCCGGTAATTTGACGCTGATGCTCTGTTTCCCTTTTTGAATATGGGTACTACATTTGCCTGCTTCCACAAGTCTGGCACAACTCCCGTGTCTAATGATTTTGTAAATAAATTTACGAGGGGTCCGCTAATCTGTTCCTTACACTCTTTCAAAACTCAGGGAAAATTTCATCCTGTCCTGGGGATTTTGTTTTATTTAATTTATTTATCTTTTTAAGAATATCCTCTTTTCTGATAGTGATATTCTTTAATTTCTCTTCTTCATTTCCCCTAAATATCAGTTCACCTCTAGAATTTCCTCGTGAATTTCTTCTGTGAAAACTGATAACAAGTAGGTGTTCAATGCTTTGCTTATTTCCTCACTGTCATCGATCACTTCTCCTCTCCCTAAGTTTAAAGGCCCTACTTTGTCCTTGACCTTTGTCCTACATACCTGGAAAAATCCCTTGGGATTCGCCTTGGAAAGTGGATTTACTTATGCTTAAACATAAGTGCATGCTAGTTGAATGCATGAAGGATTGAGTTAATCGGGAGCAAGTTGGAATTAAGTCGACAGGAGTTGAGTTGACATGAGTTGAGTTGACTTGAGTTGAATTGACTAGGCAGGAGTCAAGTTGACATAGTTTGAATTGACTGGGGTTGAGTTAACTGGGAGTTGAATTGACCGGGGATTGAGTTGACTGGGGGTTGAGTTGACCAGGATTAAGTTGATAGGGGTTTTAGTTGAAAGGGGTTTAGTTGACAGGAGTTGGGTTAACCAGGGGTTGAATTGATATGAAATCATGTAATACAAAATAATACAAGTGGCTAGAAAGAAGTAGAGGCAGCTGGACGGTAAATAACAATAATCTGAGATGACACAGCTGGAGACATAGATGACACACCTGGAGACATAGATGACACACCTGGAGACATAGATGACACACCTGGAGACATAGATGACACAGCTAGGAGACATAGATGACACACCTGGAGACATAGATGACACAGCTAGGAGACATAGATGACACAGCTAGGAGACATAGATGGCACAGCTAGGAGACATAGATGACACAGCTGGAGACATAGATGGCACAGCTAGGAGACATAGATGTGTACAAATATGACCTGTAGTGTTATTGTGATAATGTTTGTATTCACTAATATTGTGGCACATAATGCTGATATGGACAAAAATAAATTAATATGTTGGCTAGGAACTGCTAGCATTAAAAAAAAAGAGATAAAGAACATCCTCTCGCAAATACATCATTTTCAGAACAAATGGACAACTTCATGGGTCAGACATTCAGGGTGGTAGTGATGCCTTATCCAGTAATTATCGATTATGAGAAAGGCAAAGAGCCAGGCACTCCGCTGACTCCCAAGGACTCCCTCGACGTACACATGCTTGACATCATCGCTAAACAACTCAATTTCACGTAGGTATGGTCTTATCTCCTCATTATATGCTCAAGGTACCATGCTCACATCATGTCATAAGACGTGATGTGAGGTTTTTTTTTTGTTATAGTGGATGGTAATGCAGTGGAAGCGCCCCTCAGAGAAATCCCGAACCAGCACAAACATAATTAATAAAAGTATTTTCCGTGACCGTGGAATAGCTAGTACCTGTGATTGGGGTTAATGAGACGCACTGGTAAAAGATAACACTTCTATTCCTTCCAACACTACAGACGGAATCAATAATTGTACACAAGCACTAGAGTCCTTTTTAGCGTGGCTTACAACACTACAAGGGGAAACAAAAGTTATACATGGTATCAAAAAATATTATTAAAATATGTTAATTGCATCTGAAAAGAACTAGTAATACAGCAGTACTACCTACACCAGTGCAGACACCAGAACGAGGAACTTATCTGAATCAATTCTTTCGTACATCCTACATCACTTAGTGGCACATAAAACATTAAAAATATATTACTTGCACCGATGAACATGCCTTAAGGGCATCCGACAAAATTAAAGCAATCACTGAGGAACAGAAATCCTTATTTAGTCACACTACACAAGAACATGGATCACTCATAGCCTGTCTGGAATGACCTTCAAAATACTATAATCCTAACTGTCCTAACTACCCAGAACGCGAAGGTTGTAACTGCTAACCTGCCAAGTGGCAGGCATTTACAAGAAACCGAGAAAATCACTCATGACCGGTCAGGCAGGCGGGTGCTCCGCTGTTTTTTCATTACTCTTTCTAGGTTCAGGAGTCATGAGTGTTTTTCTCCACCAACACCCGTAACATGCTTCACACATAAGTTCAGAATACACCCGTACTTTAAGGTGCTACAGCCTTTCACAAACTTTTGAAGGGAAACTCCTACGTTCCACGTGTGCAATCAACCATGAGAAGCGTTGATTACATACCTGGACTTGGTTATTTTAATCACATACACCCAATACTGAGGAGATGAATGTGTCTATGTGATCACTAGAACTCCCGGTCCCAGCGTGTAACATTTCATTCACTCAGTCTGCACTCAGTTTACTCCCAGTACTTCATGGACAGGAGGAGAGTGACCGTCAGCCCGCCTAGTTAGGCCAGCTTAGAGTACAACCAGGTGAACCCTGCCCAGCTGAGGGAGGGGTTCTACTTTCCCGTTAGTAATATTTTTCACTGACTGACTAAGATGTGGTGTTGTATGAACCAAGGGGGGGGGGGAGATTCGATGAACCAGATCGACCACCGACCAAAGTGCGGCTGCTGGTCCAGTAGTTAGTCGTCAGAGACACCTGTACAAACTGGACAATTTTGTAATTAAGAAGATTTGTAACCAGGTGAGAAGATCTGGTCACCCGACCATCTGACCTGACCACCAACCATTGTGTGCTATTTAAAGATTAGTAGGGTCATTACCTAATACCTGACCATTGTGGACCTGGTCTTACCCTCCTCTGTATATATACACCTTGGTTTGTATTTCTCTTTAGTCTGTACTCACCCCTGAAGATGTGAATTACACGAAAGGGCTTGGGAACTTCGTGTTTTCTTCTTTCCTTGTGGTTATCAGTATATACCTAGATCACGCGCACCTATCTGTCGGAATTACTGGCAATTAATTTCTCACTTGACTTGGGGTTTATTAAAGAATATTAGATGGTCATTGCAGTGGAAGCGCCCCTTGGATAAAAAATCCCGAACCAGCACAAGAACACTTAAATTTACTAACAAATGAATTCTCCGTGACCCGTGGAAGGATAGCATCTGTGATTGGGATGAATGAGACACACTGTAAAATTTTGAAACTTATATTCCCTCCAACACTACAGACACAATCAAATAATGGTACACCAATATGCGCACCTCTTAACCTAAACTTTAAACACTACTCTGGGGAATAAAAGTTATACATGATATTGAAATTATTAGAAACTCATACAATGCTTCATTAGACAACAATAAATTCAAAGTATTAAGAAGTGTTGCTTGCACACATGAAACAGGCCTTAAGGGATTTCAACAAAATAATATCAACCACTGAGAAAATGCTAATAAAATAAGAAATTATTAAATCTACCATGAATAGGCATAAAGGGCACTCAATAAAATATTATTACCCCCACAGATGCACACCTCCTAACCTAACTTAAACACTACTCTGTGGAACAAAGGTTATACCTGAGATTGAAATTATAAAGAAATATTAAATGCATTAAAGGAACTAAATCACAGTATCACGTACAACAGAAGGGAGAAACTCATCTGAAAAACAGTTCCTTCATTCTCTTGTTTCAATTAGTGACACAAACATTAAAATAACAATACTATCAAAATTATTTAAGTAATATTAACTACACACAGCAAGGCCACAATAGTAACTGAAAAAATAGTATTAACTACACACAAAAATATTATCACTGTTATTAAGAAGTTACTGAGTCCACCAATACCCGTGAACCATGCTTCCTAACCTAACACATAGAGTCCACCTGCACTCCGTAGTCTTTTAAGGCACAACCAACAGGCACTTGAAGTTTAAGGCCCAAACCAGCCTTTCTCAACCTTGGAAAATGTACCTCTAAGTTCCACTAGACTCCTGGCCCCAGTGTGTGGCCCTGTATTCACTCAGCTGGCTTCACTTTACCCCCAGGACATCCATGAAACGGAAGGAAGTGAGCCAATCAGACCTTGTACAGTTGAGAGAAGCTTTAGCTTCCCGTTAGTAAAAGGTTTTCACTAAGCTGCTTGAAGATATGTGGTATTGTGAGCCGAGGTAGAGGAGAGCTGATGACCCCAAACGATCGTCACGTCGTTATTTGGGCACCTAGACAGCTGGTTTCACTCCAACTCTCACCATACTCAACAGGTGGCTCAAACCGAGGTCAATGGACGGTCATACAGCTCGCTTCACCACTCGTCTCATACCAACAGTGGACGTTATCATACCTGAAAAAACCCGGGCTGTTAGCTATTGTCTCACATCACAGTTTGTTCCTACCGCCCTATCTAGCTCTGTCTGAGATTGAATAAAACTTACTTGTAGATACTGATGTTAAATAAACGAAGGAACCAGTTCACGCTGTCCGTCTCTCCTGGTTGCAGAACAGAGATGGTCCTGTAGCTTAACCTCTCTCACAACTCCCAAGCCACGCTTGCTCACTGGTTCACGCTTTTCAGGAGTGACTTATTAACAGACGATTAACAGCTTAATTAGGACGTACGCAACATTTTCAGACTGGGAAACGATCTATAAGTATTTTCAATTTAATAACTGATATTTAATTTCATGATTCGCGTCCCTATTAACTCGGTAAATTACATTTAATATCGTATAGGCCTAGTTCCAAAAGCTCTCACTACGTGCAGGAGCGCTCCTCCCTCAGTCGACCTTGAAAACTCAGTATCGCCAATGGCCCGGCGTTTGAAATTTCTGAATATTACACACACACATACACACACATTTATATATATATATATATATATATATATATATATATATATATATATATATATATATATATATATATATATATATATATATACGTATATATAAAGAACTACAAACATATTTCCCCAGCTATTAGCAACACAAATGTCACCGAGGACCAAGATATTTCGAAAAAGTATTGTACCATCCCCAGGAGGAACGATCCCAGCAACTTGATGCATGTGTCAGTTCATATGACCCACATAGAGAGGCTAGTATCTTAATGAACGGTAAAAATTGTTATGGAGGGGTAAGATGACATTATGCCCACTGATTTATGATGTACATTACATAGACCTCCAGAAGGGAGCAGGCATAACTTCATGCTATACTTCCTAGCACGAGAGGCATACTCTCTCATCATAGTCTGAAGCTACTTTAGTTACGGTACTATGGTATGAAAATATTAAATTGTATTGACTTTCCATCAAGGTATGAGCTTCGAGAACCCTTGGATAAGAAGTGGGGGACTCGTGCAGATGACGGAAACTGGACGGGGATCGTTGGCACCCTTCAGCACCAGCAGGCGGACTTCTCCCTCGACCTTACACTCACAGAGTCAAGGAGCCGCGTCATGGACTACTCCAGGGTCTATTATCAGGATCCTATTGTTATTGTGTCGCCAAAGCCTACTCCTCTTCCCCGGCACCTGGCACTCACCAGACCATTTGAAGGTGAGGCTCTGTGCTTAATTTAGCAAATTAAATGTAATGTTTTATATCATGATATATTGGATCCACAGTTTGTGTCTTCGATCGTGAGTTGTTTCTGTGTGGCAGTTACACTGAGCCCAATGCAGCACTACGATTTAGCATATATCATGTATAGAATCAGATGGTCCTGAGCATTCGTACTTCGTTAATATCACCTCATAAAACATTTCGTTTTTGTTCAGGGGAACTTTGGTTGGTTGTTGCTGTTTGTACATTAGTCCTCGGCATCATCTTGTGGCTGCTGCAGAAGATATGGTCATGGGCATCTGGTGACCGAGGCGCCAGTCTGGTGTCTACTCTCTTTGACAGCTGGGGGATGCTTCTTATGAAACCAGTCACAGAGATTCCCACTAACACCAATGGGCGGGTATGAACAATATCACCCCTTGATTATCATGTCTCGAATTTCAATAGTAATCATTATAATCTTTGACAATAATTAAACCTTACTTGATTGTTTTAGGTAGAAGAAATCTACGGTAAATTTAATACTCGTGAAATGGACTGTGATGAAATATGGCTGACTCGGTTGATGCATAGTTAGACTAACTCTTAATATGTTGATGTTGCAGGTGCTGGTAGGATGGTGGTTGCTGACGTGTGTGATCATCACCACAGCCTACCGTTCCTCCTTCATCGCCCACCTGTCCGTCCAGAGCAAATATCCACCTATTAACAACTTTCAGGACCTGCTCAACCGTGACGGCTGGTCTTGGGGTTCTAAGACTATTCAGGGATCTGTTTTTATCTACTTCAACCAAAGTTCTGATCCTGACATACAAAAAATATTCAGGAAAATGGAAGTTAGTGAACTTGAAGTGTTTGCTGTCATTCTTTATCAAATTATTTGTGTGAACACTCGGTTTTCATTTCCTTCCCACTCACAGGGATCCATGTGTGGGCGGCGTGTCCTAACACATCGTCTCACAGTTATGGGCATGGGACTTTCAGTTACAATTATAGCTTTTAGCCCATCGTGGTCCCCGTATTAACCTGTGGTACGTACAGTCAACAAAACAATATTCTGTACTCCTAGGTCTGACGGCCTACGCAACAATTACAGACTGAGGCCATGTTCAATTGGTAAGGTTGGTACTTCTGAATGTGTGACGCAATGTGTAGCCAATACAACGTATTCTGTATCTCACGAATAGTTAATACAGAGAGGTTAACAGGAGCACATATAATCCGTACCTTTGTCAGAATTCTTGGTCCAGTGTGTCATATTGTATTACACCGTAAAGGTGCAGAATTTTTATTTTTATTTTGTTGATTGTACATTACAGACTCTTATACACAACTTGATATCATGTCCACACACTATAATTTACAGTTTTCTGTAAATTTTCAAGGAAAGACCACGTTTTAAAGACCTAAAAGAAACTTTGTAAAATAAAGAATGATGACTATAACTAGGTACTTCTACTCGACCGAGATTTAACTTTAATATCAGGTCAAACACGATATTTGGGATACTCTTGTTTACCGTTGCAGTTCTGTTTTCTCGCCCTTGAGGACAATGGTTTCATACCTTGAGTATTTAATAATAATCATATTGTCCTCAAAGGATTTTACCGAAATGTGAATAAAAGATTATTACCCCTAAAATAATTCAGATCAAATTCACTTACAGTAAATAGTAAAAAAAAAAAAAAATCAATATTTAATTGAAAAATAAGAAGCACGAAGAAAAATTAGTTTAAGAGTACCTCATTAGGCCTATCTTGTGATATTAAAACAGTGGATTTCTTTTCCGAGGCAGATTTATTCGATGGAGGATGGTTTGAAGCGAGTCTTAACTGGAGGGTTCTCCCTTATAGTGGTTAAAATTCATGTGAGAGTCCATGCAGGAGAGATCTTCTTCGACCAGTATGGCAACTCGCCCTACCAGTTGGCCAGGACAGAGTATCCCATTTTTGGGGGTAACGTCTGGGGCTTCCGGTGAGTCAACTGGGAAGTATTCACTAAGAACACAGTAATGAAATATGTATTTGCATGGTGATAATGCACACATATTTTATGCCCTGGCACCTTATTCGGTCGACGTAAATGTGTCTAATATCCACACCTGTCACATTTCTAGTATAGGGTAAATTTCATTTCATATATTAACATAATCCCATACATTTATTGCAATATTCGATACACCAATGTAGAGAAAACAAATATATATATATATATATATATATATATATATATATATATATATATATATATATATATATATATATATATATATATATATATATTTTGATAAAATCACACGGGAAAAGGGAAACAACGGAGCACCTTAGCTTTCGTCTTCATTCAAGACATCTTCAGAGGCAACTGAATTACAAGGACTGAGAGAGGCTTATGTACACAGGGTGACCGTACAAAACATGAGGTCAGGTAAAAAAAAACATGACATCCACTAATCCACACACCAACCACACAGCAACCATAACAAGAGCTTATAAGAACGGGCGACATAACTAGTTATGTCAAATCAGGTAAAAAATATGAGACACACTAATCATCTATCCTACATTTTCCTTAAATGATTTCAAAGCATTTTTAACCTTGGGCCACTGACAAATAAATTTGTGTAACATATTATCAGTATTGTACTGACCATCACTAAGGTTTATAGAATTAATTTATCTAATCAAACTAGCTTCAACCAGAAGTCTTTCTGTGACACATGATGATTTTGATTAGAGAAATGAATTCTATAAACCTTAGTGATTATACAACACTTAATCAAAACATTGTGTCCACAATCCCTTCTAATCTATTTGATTTTATCAAATTAATATATATATATATATATATATATATATATATATATATATATATATATATATATATATATATATATATATATATATATATGTATATACATGTTGCATAGACAAGGAGCACCATTTACGAGTAAGATCAGCAAAATGAAGGGACGACTGATAGAGGCGGGACTTCTGAATTTATGGCTGGACGACATCATAAAAACTCAGACTGAGTTGAAAGAAACTGAACGAGAGAGAGAGAAACTCACACTGGATACTGAGGTAAGGATAATGTTTGTTATATTTCTCTTAAGATAAAGTAAGTAAACTTAACTACAATACTTGTTAAATTACCTGAAAACTGGTACAAGAACACATAGGTGACGAGCTTTGAAATTATATTGTAGTATTCCATAGGAATAGTCTTGAAGATCTTTACATTGTTCCAGAGGTCGGGTTTCGTAGACCCTCATAGTCGATATTATATTTTTTTTTTTCAATAAAAAATTATTTATTGACTAATCATTGATACACTTGTTTTATGATAATACATATAGCGTGTTGAAGATCATAGAACAGTTTTCGTAAAAATCAACATAAAATATAGTTAGAGAAAAATAAAACAACGGAATTTATATTTTGATTGTCTCAACGTATCCTTACCTTGAGTCCATGGCAGCATCTAAGCATTAACGTGTGTATTACACATGTATACGTGCAAAGAAACTTGACATTAGTCTTTGAATAATAGGAGGTATATTTCTTCTCATATGCTCTAACCTTTCTTTTTTCTGCCATTTACCTAATATTGTTGAGATAACCAGCTATTACCCACCACCCCATAAATAAACATAACTATGGTTTAAGCCTTGAGTCGGACTCACATCTGGCTCCTACTATAGGTTAGGTTACCATATGAGTTTGGCAACGAACATTGATAAGGTACAATTTTCACTCGTGTTTAAACATCTAAAATAGCTTAGTTAAGAGTCTAAAATTACTGATAATAATCCAAATAATTACCAGGGTTTTTCATGCTAGACACGATTTTCTTAGTCTGAGCTATGAGCCTCGATTAAGAATTCGGGACTATGGTTGCAGCCACACGCGTACGTTTTGCCGCCAGCATGTGATCAATAAGAAGACACACAAATCTAGTACGGCCGCACCCTAACAGAGTCGGAACCGTGCGTCTCATATAATTTTGTATAAAATGGCAAAATTTACTCTAACGTGGCTGCATGCTAAGACATCAAAAACTTACCTTAACTGCGTGTAAAACTACGCCATAAGACTGTCTGGAGCGAGGAGGTTTCATAAGTCACAAGTTGCAATGGTTACAAAATCAGCTGACAGCAGCTTTTTTTAGTTACGTGTAGTTCTGGGGGGAGTATTGCATAATAATGAGTCCTTCTGACTGACATCATAAATTAAAAGTGATCTACACCAAATTTGACATTATCTGGTAAACCAGATACATGAAATTCTATATAAATAAAGCTTCTGCCTACCTCTGTAATCAAGGTAAAATTAAGATAATTGTGTTATTCTTGTGCAGGAAAGCTCGACTCAGGTGGTGCTGGGGCTTGACCACCTTCAGGGCGGGTTTTACCTGCTGTTGTTGGGTTGTTACCTCGCCTTCCTCGCCTTTATAGCAGAGATGATCGTCCATTGCTGACTGAAATATTAAGATTCATTATTTGTTGCTGAAGATGAATCACTACTTGGTACAGCAATACAAATTCATGGTTAATGCAGTTACCAAAAAGCGATTTTACTGGCGTGGAAAAGTTCCTTTACTTATATGTAGCACATAGTCTCTTCTGAAATAAATTGTATCCTGATTTTTTATGATATTTGTTATCCTACTCTTCAGGACCGGAAAATTTTTATAATTTTCCGGTTATAAAAATCTAACAAGTGTAATCTGTCCACAACGAATGTGGTAATTGAAGCTCCTCGATCTGGCACACCAAAGGTTTTATTCTTGTAAACTGGGCGTTTGTAAATTAAAGACACAAGTAAAAAAAATGTTTGTAATAAAAAAAAAAAAATCAGCCATAAAAAACGGGGAAATATCTTATTAAATACTTCTGATCCGTTATTCTCCTGAATAAATGAACACAGACACCAACACACACACACACACACACACACACACACACACACACACACACACACCAAAGGTTATGGACATCAACCTCTTTTCTGACCCTGTCCCAACTCCCTTCATGATTTTGGCCCCCAGCACACTCCAGGTTGTGGACTCCACCAAACTCCTCGGCGTCACTACACACAGCATTACAATTGTCAAATCCTCCAGTTTGCGTCTCCACCTCCTTCCCCGACTCAAATCCCTCTGAGTTCCAGCGGCAGAGCTCCCCAGTGCTTCCTTAATATGCATACTTCTCAAGCTTACCTGTGCCTCCCCTGCTTGGTCTTCCTCCATAAATGCCACATAACAGAAACGCTTAGAAGAGGTGTAGAAGAGTGTCTGCAAGATTATTATCTCCCCTTCCTCCTCCACAAATCAAGAAGTGCTCAACACTGGGACCCTCTCGGCTCTCTCTGATCATCACCATAACCCCATATGCAAATTTGAGGAGAAGTTTCTGCCCCATTCTCGGCACCAGCTCCTGCTTCCATCCGAGATCCCACGTCCACGAACGGCTGCATCCAGCCCACATGAGTACATACTTGTCGCTAAAAGAACAGCCCAGTCCCATCCATTGTAAAAATAATCAACAACTCGTAGTCAAGCAGGGTGTTCACTCCACCCAATCTTATTTTTTTGCACTGTTACTGTGTTGCAATGCACTAAAGTACGACCTTCTCCCCACCTTACATCATATTTGTATTACTTATGTTACTTGTATGTTATTTGTCAATCAAGTGATTCGTTACCCAATTATGTAATAGTATATTTTCAGCCTTATGGCTGCCATTATATAAGCTTTGGGTAGAGCTCCCCTTTAACTTGTCTTATATATAAATAAGTTAAGGGGTTAAGTTACAAACCGAGATGGTCTTTCTCCATTTATTGGTAAATTAAAATGGTCACAGTCTATTAGTAGATGCACCGTAATTAACACTGTAAGCTGTGAGGTTTAGTTAAGGACAGGGCTCAGCTTGACTGAGTTAGGTCACCTGTCCGATTTTTGTGAGGCTCAAGTGAAGACTGGCTGGTCAGGGGAGGTGCCTGTGAGGGAGAGGTGCCTATGAGGAAGAGGCCGGGCTAACCCAACATTCTCAAGGTCGACCTACTGATAAAGGAATTTCCCCTCATGTGAACAGCACATGGCAACTCACAGCTTATGGAAAATTACTGTGGGGTGATTGGATTATATAAACTAAATGTATTAACCCAAATTTATATTATTGTTTTTGCCATGAGACAGGGGCTAATACATCGCTCGGTCACCACCTTCCAAGCTTCTATGAGGAATTAGCTTCTTGCAGATAAAAAAAACCTTAACATAAACCTAACCATGTTACATACATATGTGTGAAAACACTAAACTGAAGCAACTGCAACCTGGAGTTCAGCAGTTACTAGGGTCCTAGCCTTAAGTGCCTTACAGAATAGTATATTATGTACAATGGTAAATTAAAATGATATTGATCTCTCGGAGCAAAACAAAAAAATATTACTGCCAATATTACACAATAGTGGGAATAGTTAAACTGGGTATAACAAATCCTGTGAAAAACAAATTAAAATAGCAGATTATCTTCTATATTAGTAAAATGTGACTCTTTCAGATAAGAAATTAATTTTAATTTATCTAACATAAGATTGAGTTCACTGAGTCAAAATAGAAACTTGGTACAATGGAATCAAATCCAAAGTGAGATATAAATTCAATGCAAAATGATGATGGGAAGGCAAGGTTTTCAACGATCTACAGGTTGTCACACAGTAATCGGGAGCCTTATAATAACCTTTCACAACTAACTGGTTATCACCATCTTGGCATCGCAAAGTGACGTTAGTTTCTTCAGGGAAAAAAAATTATATATATAGTTACATTGTTTCAGCGCTGTGTGAACGTTAGTTTGCATGATCGCCAATTCGCATATTCCGTCTGCAGCAGATTTAACGATCACACATAGGCTGGGCATATGTGTAAATGTATATATGACGACTTACACCGTGATCATACCCTAAGATCATCCACTTCTAACAAAGAGTAGTCTTCATCTATAAGTAAAAGATCGGTTGGTACATCCAGAGTAAACAGTGTGTCATCAGAGTATAATGGGAAAGGTTCTACATGCCATGCATTAATTTGCTCTGCACTAGCATAGTTACGTGGCTGAGGAAAGCAGTGCGTGAGAGTTGACTCTAACAGACGAGATATACAATTCTACCTCTTCGTCTGCGAAAATTGGAGTTTATAGATAACTCGTCTTGGTTATTTGTAAGGCTCCAAGAAGAATTTCCACATACACATGCTGTGTATCCATTCGTCCTAACCCTGCATCAACCATACTTGCAATTAGTTCGCTTTTGTTAATTGATATAGCTTGAGTTGAAGTTTTTGTAGCATGCATAATGCTTGAAAAAAGAAATAATCATTCCAGTGTAGGCACTGAATCCATGAAATTATAAAATTTTAAATTCGTGATTAGACTCAGAAATCTTTTCGTGTTACTATCATTATAGAAATGTCAGGAACATTATTATATACGTTTCGCAGAACGTAGTTTCAAACAATAATCATCAGATACAATGGGTGTATTTGACGTGTTTGCTGTTTGAACAGTTGTGGTCTGGGACAACGATGTCTGGGATATCATTATCATTCCTTTTTGAAGAGTCAGTGGGGCATTTCTGAGACCGAAAGGCATCCTCAGAAATTAAAAAGGGCCAAAGGAGTGCTAATCAAGGTTGCTAAATACAGCATTATTTTTGCCTAAGGATTGTAAAATATCACTCAAGACAGGCATTGGGTACCTATTTGGGATAGTATTTTCATTGACGCGCCTAAAATCAATTACTGGGCTCCAACCTCCATCCTTCTTAGGAAAAATAATGGACTATTGAAAGGGGATTTTGAATGTGTGATGACCTCTTGATCCAACATATCCTCAACCATATCCTGGACTACAGCGCGCTGGCTGTGTGGTTGTCGGTAAGCTGGTATGTAAATTGGTCTGTGCCTTGTTTTAGGGATATGTGATGTGAGGTTAAATTTGTGAAACCTAACTGTTCCCCTGATAAAGCTACAATGTTTCGGTAGTCGGCAAGCAACTCTAGGAGCCTAGTCTTACCTTGAGGGTGATCAATCACCTTAACATGTGGTGATATTTGATCTATCCTCTCCTGTCTGGTTTGTTTAATTGAAGGTGAAACACTACCAATTGGGAATAGCGTAGGTTGTTGGGCATCATGGTTATGATAAACTAGAGAATCACACCAATAACATCCTTCTTTCAATATTCGTAATGCGTCTGTTGTGTTGAGAACTATAACGTCTGTTAAACCACCAGGACGAATCGTGTTCAATGTAGATTCGCACTATAAGCCTTTAACCTTGCATGTTTCTGTAAGACAGACTACATCCGTCTTCGTGTACACGTCAGGTCAAACAACAGTGTGGCTCTGGTGATTTCCCCATTCTGAAAATGGAGAGTACCCGTTAAAACTGCAGGTACGATCGTCCAACTATTGCTGCTATAATCACGCTGGGGAAGTGAGTCTGTGGGGTCATGAGCCCTCTTTGACTCATAATCCATCGTCCTCGTAGTAGGAGCGTTGGACAACACATTCACCCTTGCGGAGAGCAATGGTACAGACGTGTGCATGGCACTGAAGGAAATACCATTAACAGTGATAGTATGTTTGCTTAGCTGAACATCTATCAAATTAGGTTTAAGAGTTGGAAGACCTATTAAACCGTCAGCTGGTAAATTATAATATTGCACCACATAAAAATCTGCAGAAAAGGATATACCACGTCTAGGGAAACGTAGTGGTAATGTTATCATTCCTGTTATATCCAGCTGAGTACCGGAAACTCCTGAGAGATCGGTGTAGGTAGGTCGAATAAAAAATTCTCGGTGAGGGGAACTACGTTGTAACTCTTGATAGGATGCCAAAGAAAGTACGTTTACACAGGCACCTGTATCATTGTCTAACGCTAACTTGACTGACCCAACCCTCACCGGAATTGATAACACTTCCGCTTTGGTTGGCGCTGCTATTAACGAGGCTGTAACAGAAGCGTTGTTCCCTGTTGGTAGTGGTGTAGCTACCTATGTCGGTCGTTCTATTTCGGTATGGCTGAAAATTTACAGTGTGATAAATTCATTGTAGAACTGTCATATTTGCAGTTTGAAAAGATGTGTCTATGGCATCATTAAAATGAACATAAAATTATCAAATTTGTAGTTTGAAAATTAGTAACATTATTAACCTGGCACATTTACAGTTTAAACTTTATTAACATTATTATCCTTCCTGGAAAAAAAAGTGCACATTTTCTACGTCTAAGGTTTGAAAAATTATTGAGATACAAACCCAAAAAATAGTTTTGGCCTTTGTTCTAGAGTTCATTAGAACTCGTTATTGAACCAGGATCACAAGTGTGATCACCATCTAGCCAGGTAGAACTCTTATTATTAGCTTTGACATTATAATAGAGTTCACCTGCTATGGAGACTAAAGAATAACCTTGTTCATCCATTGACAGTAAATTTATATAAATTAGAAGTAAAATAATTAAAGTATCAATAGATGAACAGGTGAAAAATAAATATTGGAAATATATTACATCAGTGTATATTAAAATAAGTAAGACACATAAAATAAAAATAACCTGCCACAATGGCAAACGTATGATGG